TAAGATTGATACGGAACCACATTAATATTAACAAAACACACATTATATTTTCCTTTGATACATATTTTTTTTCATCAATTAAAATGAGAATAATCCATACAGTGTGTGCAAACATTTCAGAATCATGGGTTGAAAAACGCTGACTCCGCCAGATTAAATATATTAGAGCCTAACACATAGCGGAGCGGCGACGCACTGGCGCCTACAAACCTAACAGAGATACTTCACGCATTGCGCAATGCGTGAAGTATCACTGTTAGGTTTGTAGGCGCCAATGCGAGGTTCGCGCTGGCTGCCCGCCTGCCGCGCCGCAGCGTGCCACGGCGCTTGAAGCAACTATTTCACACCAGAAGTATTGCACAGTATCATACGAAACTGAAGGCGCTCTAATATATTAGGAATGGCAAGCATCCGTCAAAAGTACAGAGCTTTTCTCGCAGAATAAACCAAGATACTACAGCCCAAAAACTCACCAAGTCCTAGCATCCGTAATTAGTGACGTTTAGCAAACACTTTATCGCCTGGCTGTTGCTTAGTCGCCATCGGCTATAAAAGGCTATAAGAGATTGTGTAGCCGGCTATAGAAGCTATTGGAAATCTTACAGCCGGCTGTAGGTCTATGGTATTTTGGAACACAGATTCTACTGCCAATTTTTACCAGGGTTTGCTTCCTTTTTCTTTCTGCACTTTGCAAAATTAAAATCATTGAATGAATCTTACGCGAGGAGAGTTTATGACAGGAGATTGTTTGTTTATTTAAGTTAGGTCTCTCTCCGGGCAAACCTGACCGCCGACCACCGAGAAAAACTTCCCGGATACGCGGTAAATTTGAAAAGTAGTGTTATAAACTACGCAGATTGCGCGCTAAGGAGTGGATTTCACGCTTTTTTGATGTGCCCAGCGTGATTTCCGAGCGAATTCGCATTTATTAGGCATATTCAGTTGGCTGTATCTCTTGCGCGCAACAGACTCATTGATCTAAAAACTAAAAAATTATCATCTTTGCATGTGAAGATTAATGGTCTTGTTGTTGATGATGCAGAATTGCAAAGCGCGGGAGGAAAAGACCGTGCTACCTCTAATCTGCCGTGCTAAGGAAGAACGCCGTATGAGCCTTCAGACGTTTCCAAATTTCCTTCGATAAAAACCGAATTTACTGGAAAAATTGTGAATATTTTTTTCCAAAATTTCCAGACAATTTCGTACGCAGTTTAATCTGAAATATCCGAAAATTTCAAAGAAAAATGTGCGTGAATGTCTTCAAAAATACATTTTTTATCACGGGAAACTTGGCAACTCATGAATGTTCATGCGACGTTCTTCCGTAGCACGGCAGCAATGCTGGCGTGCTAAGGAAGAACGCCGTATGAAAATTCGAGAGTTGCCAAATTTCCTTCGATAAAATGTTTATTTTTCGGGAAATTTATGAATATTTTTCCTTCAAATTTTCAGAATCTTTGTGTAAAATTGTGAACTAAATCATCTGAAAAATTAGGAGGAAAATATTCATAAATTTTCCAGGAAATTCGCATTTTATGAAAGGAAATTTGGCAACGCTTGAAGGCTCATACGGCTCGGTCGGATGCCCGACTGCTTATCCTTTATTTACTTATGTACTCGCGTGAAGTACGAACTGCATTCTGCAAAGGTCTAATCCTCGAGTCAATATTAGACTGACGTTTGGATTTGAATTTATCGATGTTCCCCAATTGCATCGTAAAATTCCACAATAACAAGCCGTGACGCACACTAACAGAGACAGAGGTCAACGCATTGGAAATGTTCCGGAATCATACGGGTTTTAGAGTCGATTTATGAACCACTAAACATTGCGTAGACTACCTGGGAAAGATTTTAAGGAAAAAAACAATACAAAATTGCCTCGCAAATCTCAGATTTTCCCTGACTGTCCAATCTAACATCTAAAACTTATGCAAGGTGTGAATTGAGGTAAGATAAATAAAAAGTCTTCAAGTTGAAAATCTTGCACACGTCGAACTGATGTGAAATAGAATAACGAAAGAGGGAGTTGAGGTGGCATTTTCTAAAAAATTGAGATACCAGCCATTTCGAGTAAACTCCTCGTGTGTTTACAATAAGTATGCCCTGAGAAGCATAATGCACTTGCTGGGAGAAAAAGTTGAACGCTAAAACTCTTTTCGTATCAATAGTCAGGTTTAAGTTCATATCAGTCGCACGCTTTCAATTTTTTCCTCCGAATCGTTTGCGTAAGTGAAAAATGAGGGAAAGACAACATTTTGGCCTTCAAGGATAGGTTCACTTGTTCTCAAACTCGTTTCTAGAGCATCAAACTAGGGTGACTCAAGGGTTCCGCGATTGGGAGGAAAAATAAAGTCAAATGAAATAAACAAAAGGCGAACAGCCAGGGGAAAAACACTAGCATGTTTGCATACAAATCAGCGAAAATTATTCACGAGAAAATGAAAGGTGAAAACAAGAGAAAAAAATGGTTTAAGTAGAATTTTATCACCGATCCCCTGTAACCTGTAACGAATACTGAAGCACGATACCTAACCGATTTAGCTGGTGTATGAGTTTTTCAATGGCGAAGCGTGAGTGATCGATCGATCATCGATATTTCCCCATTTGTAGCTGTGGTAAAGAATCGATTATCAAAGTGTTCGTTGCGAACACCCTATTTATCGATACTTTACCAAGGGTTTAAATGACAGATCAATCGATATATCGCAAAGCATGCCGCGACACTGATGGTGAGTTAGGATTCAAGATCCGTTCGGCGGTGGGACTAGAACGAAACCAGTTTCTCAATTAGCGACAGTGGCGTTGATACAAGTCCCCGACAGGAGGAAGAGAACGTGCGCTTTGGAAACTTAAAAAGGATTAGAAAAGAGGTTACACAATCTTCCTCGGATTCTGGTCCGCACGCGGCCTTCAAAAATCTGGCAAAAATCGATTTTTCATTCGCTAGGTCGACAACCGAACCGTAACCGTGCCGCCGCCGCGGATAAACTAGTTTTACTTGCAGGAAACTTGCGTTTATTTTTAAATTCTTGAAGGAATTTCGACCTCAAGTAATAAATGTCGTGGAGAGAAAACCGCACGTGCGGCGAGTCCGACATGGCACCAAAAATGGAGAGAAAAACGTTAAAATTTTGAGAAGGGAGACCGAGACGAACGAAAAATAAAAATTGAACGCAACTTCAACCAGAGCGTCCACAGATCGGAAAAATCCGGAAATAGTACTGATTTTCTGAGGGCGGTCTGGAAGCATTGAAAAAGAAGGAAATTCCGCAAAAAGGTCCGGAATTTTGAACTTCATGACACGCGTGTTCTTTTAAAACAGTCCGGGAAGTATGCAACCCCTTGCGCGTTGATTCATGGTGCCGTATTTTCCCGCTAAATCGTGATTTTCCAACCGGATTCAATCAGACTATCGATGGGTTGCGAATTTCTAGGCAACATAATTTTAGTCGTGATTTGCGTGTGAATTTCGAAATCTGTCGAATTTCGTCACGTAAAAGTACTGAATTTTTTTACTACTAAATTTGATGGGGACTACTGAAATAGTACTGCAAAATTTCTGATTTTTCGCTGACTAGTTTTTGTGAAGACCCTATTGAATGGAATTGCAAAAACTTTGATGATAACTTGACTCTGATAACTTTGATAGTTCATTTCGTCAGTATGATGTAAATGGAAAATGAGTTGAAATAAGATGTAACAATTCTCGATACTATTATCAACAAATATGCGTTTGAACGAACCGTGTTATTTTTGCTCTAAGAATCGCAATCACCATCAAAATGCGATCCTGTGACCAACGCGACGAGAGACAAAGAGAGACTCTCAACTGGTATCTTGGCCATAGTGGAAGTTTTTACTTTCGGGGCTTTACCATTTAACTGTTGACCTACTAGGTGCATAGTTAACAACGTGTTGAGTATTTTGTTTTGGAAACAAACCGAAGTTTGGTAAACTTGTTTGGCTCATTACGTCATCCGAAGCTTAGCACTCACCTAGTGGGTAGATCAACGCCCGAAAATAGGAAGATGGCAGTTCTGACGTGCTAAAGAGGAACACCATATGAGCTTTGAGATGTTGCCAAATTTTCGTCGATTATGTACGAATTTACAAGGAAATTTGTCGATATTTGTTTTATAAACATTTTCAAATGATTAAGTCCGCAGTTTGATCTGAAATATCTGAAAATTTCTAGGGAAAGTATGCATAACTTTTCTTAAAAATAAATATTCTATCCCCGAACATTAGGCAATGCCAGGTGGCTTACACGGTGTTCTTCCTCAGCACGGCAGTATTGCTGCATCATAGTGGATCAGATTCGCTGGTCAAAGCATTATTATTTGACGCTCTATTCTCGTAGATCAGCTAAAAATAGTAAGATCCGTCCGAACAGCAACTGCCTGCGTTCAACATTAACCGAGATATCGAATTTTGAAAAATCCGTTTAAGACGTTATTCACCGCAATAGTGACATCCTCGGTTTCTTCCACCTTGCTTTCATCAATCTGTGAGACACTGATTGTGAGACACCCATTTGCACTGGTTACTCACCGTGAAACTCGGATGAAACCAAGGGTGTCACCACCGGCGGTAGATGACTTCATGAACCGAATTTGTCGAAGTGCGATATCTGGGTTAATATTAAATGTAGGAAGTTGCTGTTTGGACAGATCTTATTATTTTTAGCTAATCTACAAGGATCAAGCATTAAAACACCATTGTATGACCAGCGCAACTGACCCATTGGTCATAAGAAAGTGTTAAAGTCCAGAGAGAATCAGTTAGGTTGGGATGGTTAGGTTAGGTTAGGATGATTAGGTTAGGTTAGGTTAGGTTAGGTTAGGATGGTTAGGTGGGGTTAGGTTAGGTTAGGTAGTTAGTTTAGGTTAGGAGAGGGCATCTTTTGGTCTTGAGTACAACAGACCCATTTGTCCAATTTCTACCAAAGTCGACCCCAATCTGCGCAACCAAACTTGAGAATAAGAGGCGGTACCTACCATGGTTCACGTCATCGGAGGACAGATAATTCTCGTCGGAGGACTCGCTGAGGGAGCGCGCGACGTAGTCACTACATTCGGAGGCGGCCGAAGCGGAACCGGAACCGGAAACGGGGACGTTGATGGCGGAAACGTAGTCGGAACCGGACGCGACGGACCCGCCGTCCACGGAGCCCGACCCGGACCCCGACTGGGGCGTCCCTGCGGTCACCGTTATCACCGGCGGCACCCGGGTGATGTCATCTATCCCTCCCTCGGGGAGCTTCGCGTCTTCGGGGGTGTTTCCTTCGGGAGTGTTCGTGGGGAGGGTTTCGTCGCGCGAGGTGGAGCCGCTCGCTCTGTCCTCTGCGGTTTTGGGGGTTTCGAACCCGGTCAGTCTTTTCAGGAAGTTGAACATTTTTTTCGGCTTCAGAGCTTTTTTGGTCCGTTTCCACTTTTTTGAGCTTTTCATCGAGGCGACGTCACGTACTCCGGATCGAGCCCGGGTTTGGCCCGGTGAGATGCTTAGCGTGCCGGATCACTTCGAAACAGATAATGGGTGGGTTAGTGGAGACGGTATACGGGGTGTCTCGAAGTTAAACGAGAATACACCGAAAAAAGAGTGATGCTGATTTAACATTCCGGATGTAAAAAAGTGTGCGAGAATTCACAAAACGCTGATTTAACAGCCACAACAGTTCCTAAAATAGCAATGTCAAGATGTAAAACTAGCTGCTGTGGAGGTTAATTCAGCGTTTTGTGAGGTCTTGCACACTTTTCATATCCAAAATGTTAAATCAGCATCCTTTTTTTTCGGTGTATTTACAGAATCTGTTTTTTTTCTTAATTGTGACGGTGTTGTTAATAAACTGCCAGAAAATTGCCTTTCATAGGTTCTTTTGCACGCTGAACAGATTTCTGACCTCAAACTGAAATTATGCTTTTAGAGGGGTTTGAAAAGAGGGGCTGTGCATCTAGAGGGGAGGGAGACTTTTTTGGGAAAACGTTATATTGAACAGAAAAGGCTTATTTTGATACCTAAAATAGATTCTGAAAAATTCGCGTTTCGCTTCAGGGCATCCTGTAAAATTTCTACGTTGGCTCCTTAAAGTTTGAGTTACAGCCTAAATTAAACGTAGTATGGAACACGTTAAAGACCACTTATTTCTCCGAGGGAATCAATGGCAGATGACGTCGTTTCTGACAAAACAGTACGTTCCTTTCTTCCAAACTCGGATTGAAAAATCTCCGATATATTCAAAACATACTTAGCATGAGCTGTTTTAAAATTAGATATTCTAAGCGTGCGTAAAGGATATCTCACCGATTCCCGGTCTAAAATGTAAATATAAGCCACATTTCTTTCATCATTCAGTTAATTCATCTTAACTTTCTCAGAGCCAAGAAGAAAATATTGATTCCATCGAGATTAAGCGTAGATGGTTCTACATTAGGATACCCTATTTTCATTCATTTGCGGTAAGCTACTTTATAAATAAATCAGACACGGCAATCAGTTCCGATTAAACCTGGATTTGCTCGGACAAATCCTCTCCAGAATGTGCTGCACGTTAGATCCGTTTCGTTGGCAGCGTTTACTCCTGCGCTGAGTTAATCTTTGGCTTTTCCAGAGTTCCTGGAGCAACGCAACTCTTACATCGTGTGACTCATATGCGAGTCAGTCTAACTGACTTTAAAATGTCCACAGCAGAATATCTGAAGAAAACTTTTCGGGATTTATACAGTATTTATTCGGTTCGGTGATCTTGTGGTACATTTCCGCGATAGTAAAACAGATTAAGTATCCGCATTAGGGAAGAAATACGGTATGCTATACGGTGAACTCCCAAACCACGTACCATGGTATACGACGTTGCAGACTTCCTGTCATTCTTAATTTTTTCAATGGAAAACCACCCGAAGTCAATTTTTAAAAACGTCGGTGGTTTTTTTTCTCTGCGCGAAGACAATTCTGAGAAAACTGCAAGGAATAATTTTGATTTTTTCTCCTTTGAAAAAATAAAACAAGAGCGGAGATACGTGGTTTGGAAGTTTCGCCGTCAATATACTATTTCGCCATGATTTAAAGTCGAGAATATCAGAATAAAAATAATTTGACTACATTCTCCAAAACGGAATTATTAATTCAGAATCATTTATAAAACATCATTCTGCATGGTGAATCTAACGGCACTTACACTGTTTCTAAAATGAGCACGAAATAATAGTCCCTTATTGCAAAATGCAGCCAAAAATAGAATTATGACAAGATCCTCTGAATTTCCGTAAATCTTAGGTATTTTTGAGCCCACCTCAAAATCAGCGCACTCCCCTGGGTTTTCGGATCCCCCCTCTCCCCGATTATCTTCGGATTTTTCCGGGTCTTTGAAACTTTCCTGGCATTTTCCTGTTTTGAAGATTTTTACAGGTAACAGACGAGTAGCCTCGTCTCCAAATGCAAATCAAACCTATGTACAATGTCAGTCCTTGCCTCGGGAGATGGAAGGGGGGGTTTCCAGGTCCCTTTAATTCCCGGAAAACCATGGCTTCGAGCTATGCAAACTAACATGACCCGGACCGCAGCTTTGCATCAAGTGTGAATTAACGACAGCAGTAAAACCAATGACATTTTCCTAGCTAGGTACGAAAACGAGTTTGAAACCTTCGAATCCGTAGCATTTCGACGTCGACTCGAGGGGAAAACTCCTTTCTAAAAAAACAAGTTCAACGCAGAATGCAAATAATCTGTTTAACGGTGGAAAACTAGTTCCACTCCACCGCCAGACGGAAAAAAATCCACTTCGGCGGAAAAAGGGAGACAGGTTACGTTTTGCCCTTGCATGGCCAGGAACGTAGTTTGCTCGACGTTCAACGGCATTTTGATCTTTAAAGGGTAAGAGGAGCTCAAAAAATTGTTTTTGTGGGATTTTCTCGAAATAATGCTGCACTCTTCAACAAAGGCGTGAATGCAGGAGAAGTAGTGGATGGCAAAAATTTTTATTAGACGTTAAGGTTGTCAGGTTGTGTAATATGATGTTTGAAATTGAGAAAAGTGCTGATTTTTCAGCACTATTGCAGTGGCAATTTTGCAAGTTGGCAACACTATTTTCCTCCATTTTTAAGTCCATTAAAAATATCGATTTTAGGTGAGGCAAGCTGCCTTACCAAGAATCGATGGTTTTACATACGTTTAGATGGAGAGAAAACAATGTTGCCAACTTTCAATAATCACTACTGTTATCTGGCGAGGGTGGTAAATATCTAACCGATTTTTGGCGCGTATACGTAGTATACCGCCTTTGCGATCGTTTCGACCCCCCCCTCGATACAATAACCGAGTCCCCTAGTTCCTTACCGAAAAGTGACTACCGCGAACTTCTGAGATTTTCCAAAGCGTGTAAAAAGTTTACTAATCCGTCAATAATAATGATTAAAATTTGTTTCTCATTCTGGGGCTCGCTAGTTTATGTGTAATGAATAC